TGAAAGTAGTTCACCGTAGTCCTATGCTTGGCTACAACAGAGACAGTAGTCAGACACCTGAATTCATTGTCGTTCCACATTACGTACGTTCTTCCTTTAGAACCTCTTTAAGCCTAAATTTCGTTTTTTCAATACGCTCGGAGATGCGGTGCAGTTTTAGGGTGAGCGAGCTCGGAACTTCATGGGAATGGAATGTGCAGCAGTTCCTTCTCAGAGGGAAAGGTTAAGAACTGAAGGTCTGATAGAAGTGCTTGACAGTTGAGTGCTAGGAAAGTCGCAAATAGTTCATATAAGGCGCGTGTTTGTTATTGATGACGATAAACTTGTAATACAATAGTTATAAGAGTGATCTCAGCGGAAATAGAACATATCGAAATAATGCACACTAATATTATTGCGTGGTGAGATAGGTGGTCCAAGTGCAACAGAAGTATTGGAAGAACTGTATTCTCCTCTCAGGTATCATCCATCTCTCTTTGGGCGTTTTATGTGTTGTTTATACTTGGGGAAAAGCTGTCCGACCTTTGGATAATGTTAAACATGCCAAAGGACGAAAAACTATGTAATATGTCCTTTGCAATTAATCGTAATCTAATAAGTGATTTTTGTAAGGTGAAACGTAGCCTTTTATTTGGGATATCCTTATTTGTCACTGTCATCCATCCCTTTCTATATAAGTGAGTCACGATGACTCTGTTATGCCTTTGTTGTTCTCATGGACAACGCACATTTTTGAACAAGTAGTATTTTAGCAATACTGGTTGTTCAACGCTAAAGAAGCCCAGCGGGTTATTTGCGTAGATATCTGGAGCTTCTTAAGAACGTGGATGGATATCACAAGCTGGCCACAATGAAGAAGCGGGCTTTTGTTTTCCTTGATACACACTTGGCTTGGAATGGACTTCGTATCATCGCTAGGACGCATTCACAGATAACTACCGTTTCTTGGCGACTAACCTCTTCAGTCACGGAAAAACATATAGCGCACTGGCTAAGAGGTGCTCTGCAACGTACAAGAGATCCTTGGTTCAATCCCACGTTTCTGGCTTACCAAGCCTTGCATCCTTCCGGACTAGAAGAACTGATATCAATCTTATCTGGGAGGATAGCTGCAGTGACTTTACTCTTCTATCGGTCGTCGAGAGTCATTGTATTGACCAGATTCATTCTTTCTCGATACTTTATACTTGAACGGCCCGTCCTCACTGTTTGTGCGGGCGCCAGCCTAATCACCATTTTTCGGGGATTTGTTCGTTAAGCCATTGTGGTTTCCTGGAATCTCGAGGTCGGCCTGGTCAAAGTCTGCCTCAGGTCTTCACCACCATAGCCAATCGCAGACCTTGTGGATCAGACGGAGATTTGCTACCATGCGACTTTGAAACCAGGAGGGTGGTGGATCCTGGCATTGGTTTACTCTTAGCTAGACTTGCTGATGGAAACGCAAGACTCTTCAGCTTGGGAGACCCTGCCGGGAGGACGAATCCCCCGCTGTACATTGCATTCCGACACCCAGAAACACCTTTTATTCACGATGAGGCGGTAAACCGTTCGGAGGTATGCACTTATTCACCTTTAACAATGCTAGATGAACTATAATTTGTGGCGCGTCCTCTAGAGATTGATTTGCGCCGAATCCCTTCACTCTTCATCTAATCTACGTGTCTATATAAAAGATGTGAATATGAGAATTTCAGGTCAAGCGAACTTCTGTTTTCGAAGAAGGCACGGCAACAGTTTGGGTGGTAGTGACACCTTCATCAATGCCAAAGGTTTGATATATTGGCGTGAATCCAATCTGTCTCAAACTGCAAATTACTTTGCAAACTTAATGCTCTCAATTTAAGTGTCGAACAGCTTTTACAATTTATTGAGCGTTTTTCCTCTAATATTTGAAATAACAGACAGTCGAAGATAAGGTGGGGCGGACACGTAATGGGTATGAATGACAACCGATGGACAAAAGCCGTTAGTGACTGGATTCCCCGGGATGTCAAACATACTGCAGGAGGACCACCGACCAGATGGTCAGAGTTTTTCACAAAGAGTCTTGAAGAAAGATATCATGCTCGACGAGTCCCTAGAGCGAGCAGAACCCACTGGACTACTCTTGCACACGACAGGAAAAAATAGAAGACTCACTGGCACCTGCCTCGAGTCACTCGACGATCAACGGGACTAGAGGTGAACTACCTACAGGTGACAGGTGATTTGAAATAAATACTACGTGGACAATTTAACCTTTGTGTCATCCTATATTTGAATACAAACGGGACTTCTTTCTTGAGATGATTTAGCCAAATAAACATTCCAGAACCTTTTCATGTGCATTTTTGACCCACTCACTTACTTTATTAATGCACTGTAAAAATTTCTGGTTTGCTTGGAGGTGAGATTGAGATAATAGGCCTTAGGTAGCTAAATCGCTTGTAATTGAGACTGGTGCGTTAGCTATTACCTGGGTACTAATTGAGAGTTGTGGACAAGTTTTCGTCTGAATATCAATCAATGGAGAATTCCATTTTTTCGTTTTGCTAAATTAGATCCCACAATCATGATTTGGCACCCTTTTATAACAAGGTAGTCATCCGCCTCGATTTATCATGCCGACTTCGGATTGTTCCTCCTGAAACTCGTTCCTAAAGGCTACTTGTATATTAGCCCATTCGAAGTATTATTTTTCCAACTAGAATAATTTCGGTCTTACGACGTGACCTGACTGTTCATCTTCCACTTAGGATACATACCGCGTTTCGCTCACGCAGATCTAACCTAAACAACAGGTTTGCTGAGTAGTTGAACGACACCAAGTAAGAACAGAGGTTCGATGGATTTTTGTCCAGCGTCCAGTGCTTTTCCACGTAGATTTCATGAGCAACCTTTTTATCCACATTATTGAAGCATAGCATACTACCCTTTCATCTGTTTTTTAATGCATTTCTACATTTCTAACGTCGTAGGGGCACATCTAGTAGGGGTTAGAGGTGCCTTGCAATAAACGAATAGATAATAAGTTAGACAACAAACTCCAAGCAAACAAACCTTTCCATCTAACCAAGAGCAGCAAATTGGTACCACACATGTCTAATAAAGCAAAAACATTGACTTAATATACCGGTAGGTCCAGGCTAGTAGCTTTACAGCCAAAATATTCATTCAATATTCAATCACTTGTGCGTGCTTAATGGAATGGAATGAATTGTGAATCATTCAGAGATTGATCAGCGAACGCTTTATGCCTTAACCCTTTACGCCATGTTTCCAAAAATATCATATGATCGCTGATTAGTCGTAGGTTCCATCATAACTGGAATGAAAACGTCGATGGAGAGATTTCATGGGTCTTGAGAAGAATATACATCTGATAGGAGAGAAAAAGCAGTTGTTTTGTGCTCGAGATGTGATCGCATAGTCCACAGGGCTGAAATGAACCTCGATGAACTCTATGAAAGAGTTTAGCAGTTACTCCTACAAAAAATTCACAGAACATCCAAAATCTGATGAGTGGTTTTTTGACAAGATGCATGAGCTGAATCGTTATTAGTGCCTGTGTATGGCACATTTTCATATATTAGTTGCGCAAGATTTTCCTAGTTATTTTTATGCTTCAAGCCGCTTGTAATTAAAAGTAATTTATCTTGTTGGTTAGGAAACGGTGTCGTTTATAGGCTATATCGTCTGCGGAATTTAGCGCAGTGGATGGTCAATGTAGTTCGGAGGAAACCCAACATGGTTCGAACATTCAATAAATGGTTCAGATGAGTCAGAACAGAAGATGTTTCTTAATGAAATGGTTTACTCTAAGGTGATCTCAGTTCTTTTAAAGATATTTTACAGGTTTAACTTTACTCAAGCTGCTTGCAATCTTTTCTATGTTAGTCTTTATAATGGCTTAAAATTAAACGGAATATCATCCACTAAGTGGAGCGGAAAAGTGTAAAATCGTCACTAGCGAACTAAAACAATCACTAACTCTAGGCGACAATGTCTTCGAAAATTGCAGAAGGAGCTGAAGATTAGGTCGCCATCTTCGTGTAGAACGAAAGGTTCAAATCGTATTGGTGTGGACCGGTTACAGGCAAACTATTCTACTATTTTGGTGAGTTAAGATCCATGTAAAATATATAACGTCTTGTAAACCTCGGTGAACTATTGTTGAAAGCTCTGTATGGCTAATTTATGTGTTGCCGAGTTTGCAAGATCTCTTTCTTGGAGTAGTAAGAAACCTGTGTCAGAATGTAGGAGTTGTGCGCACAGACAGTCATCAGCTCTTCTGGAATGGAGGAAAGCAAGTTACAAGTTACTGTGGCGCTGGGTTTCCACCAGACAATACTTGGAACTCGTTTATTCTTAATTAGACAACCGAGCAGAAATGTTGAACTCATTCTCCATTTTGGTGATCTCGCCTTGAAATGGATTTATCCTACTCCGCCTTAAAACCACAGTTGGAAGCCTAAGAACGACTACTGCTTATAAGACGGTAAGTCGTTAGGCTTGTGGTATGAGATAGTATTAAGAAATTGCTGTCCCCTCATTATATTCAGTTGGTTGTTTAAAATCATAACATTAAAAACATCCTTGATGGTTTCGGTCAAAACTGCTTGAAATAAATCTCTACTTTGTTGAGAATTCCAACGTATCCAGTAACCAGAACAATCACAATGTTCGATCAAAATGCTAACCTTCAATTCATGAAAATTTTTCCATTTCTTGTCGTATTAAATTTCTTGTTGATTTGATGCAAGACACTAGTGAGAAATTAAAGTCCATTCGGTGTCACCATTTTGGTATCACACTTGTCCGGGAGAATAATTAACTTCATTGACATAATCCATTGGCAGACACCCGCAAATTATTGTTCAGGTGAAATATGCATTCAGTCACCTCCACATTACTGCAAATGGAGTGAAATTCACTTTGTATTTCTAAGAAATTGTTTAGCACTGAACGCCTTGCGGCGATTTCGGTAGGGCCATCAGGTGTTGATGGTCTCTGAATCACTCTCAAAGCTTAGTGAACCACAGTGAACTTACCTCATTTCCACCCACGTTACCATTGACAGAATCAGGAGCACTGAACAGACAACCGCAAACTGCGAACAGATTCTGTAACCCATTCTGAAATAGGTGACATATATTTTCCACAGTTCTCTGAATTTCTATTAAATCGCCCAATAGTTAATAATAGACGTGAAAGTCTGGATCTCAGGTATCAAAAACGATGGCCGAATATTTTCTTTTTTACTAGACAGTGAACCATCTAATCGGAATTTCTTAGGAACAACTAGCTCTGCATCTGTTCTACTAATGTGTAATCCACGGAAAGACGAGAAATTTAAGTGTATTCTTTTTTCGTGATAAAAAACGGGTTAGAGAGACCGCTTTTACGACTAGGTGATAAGGTATATAACACACTTCTCTTCAAAGGAGCTATGTCGACGTTTCTCAAAATGTATTTGTTTTCAAGGATTCAGAATGGGAGAAGAGTTTAGTGAATCTTTAAAAATCTCATTTTTATATACATTGTTAAGTAGGGAAAGTTGGTTGCGTTATTCCCTTCGGAAGTCTTGGATTATTCATAGGAAAATATTGACTCTCATTACCTTAAATAGTTTCATTTAACAACAAAATCTCTTCTACATGACGGCATTTTAAGGAAACGGAACGCGGTGGAACAATTTAGCGTCACCGAAGGAATGCCATTGCTCATGAAAGGGATTTATTAATTCCTGCCTTCATTAAATGTCAATAATGAAGTGAAAAAACAAGAAAAAACCAGCACTAGCAGACATTTGGTTACTGTAAACGAAATGGCTTGACTCGTATTAACGGATGCCCTTCTAAGTAGTGTTTTATAATAATCGCAGAGGCCCGCCCATTTGCCGACAAAATAGATCGTTTTATTTAAGAGCCATCAAAGCGATATTGACATATTTTTTTATTCGTCCGCATGCATGTGAAGAACACTTTCGGAAAAATCTTGAACATAACCATGTCTGCTAATCAGGCCGATCCCAGTTCAAGTGGAGGTCCTTCGGGGGCCACACTGTTTAACTAACGCACCCTTTCAATGGTGATGCGTGTTACTTTGCACACAATCGCCATCCACCACCATCTTTGCATATCTCCTGGTGTTGTTAGACAACTACGCATAAGCTTAGCTGCCTTTACAATAACTACATTTTTACTATAAAAAATGTCTCGGGAAACTATAAAGCTCATAAATATATAAGAATTAGCGAGTTCTCGATCAGTCGAAAATCGCGCCTACGTCGACGTCGAACTAGTAGAGTTTGTAGGGATTCGTTTTCTAGATGTACTGGTATAAGTCATGGGGCCTTAGAAAAGTTATAGTACTTCCATGAATATGCCCATAAAGAGCTAAAGCTGTCGACACTGATCAATTCTTGAGCTATGTGTTATGCCTCCAGCTTGCCTAAGAAATTCAGTGGTTAGCTATACTGTCCATCAGAGCAAGCTGCTGGTTCGACCCCTCCACAAAGCTCTCCTCCACAATCCACATGGAAATACCGCGGTTTACCTACTTTTATGAATGCAAGGAGAATCGACTCAACCAGCATTTCGCGATATTCGTAAGGAAGACGAAAACCTCCAGCAGCAGCTCCAACAGCATACGAAAAGTTTGTGGGCAATGAATACAAGGAAAAGGAATGGGATGCTAGAAGTGCTAGGATTCGTACAGTATATGTGATCATTGGTAATGTGAAGAAAATATTTTTTTTATCTTTCGTCTTAAAATAGTTGAGTCATCAGACAAATGATGGAAGCACAATTTACATTGAGCCGAATGCCATGTCTTCTGGATAACGGCAGTGCACCAGTGACTCCCTATCAGCTGTATCACCTGTAGTCTCGTTAATCGTCGATTGACTCGAGCGGGCGCCAGTAAATCTTCTATTTTTCCCTGTCGCGTGCAGGGGTTGCCCAGCGGGATCTGCTCGCTCTAGGGACTCGTCGAGCATCACATCTTTTTTCCAGGTTCTTTGTGGAGAACTCTGACCATCGCATCGGTGGTCTTCCTGCAGTACGTTTGATATCCCGAGGAATCCAGTTACTAACAGCTCATGTCCATCAGCTGTCATTCATACGCAATGCGTGTCCGGCCCACCTTATCTCCGACTGTTTGGCATACAGAACGGCACCTTTGATTTTTGATCTTTGATGCAGATCGGATAAGGTTGGCCGGACACGTAATGGGTATGAATTGCAACCGATGGACAAGAGACGTTAGTGACTGGATTCCTCGGGTTGTCAAACGTACTACAGGAAGACCACCGACCCGATGGTCAGCGTTTTTCACAAAGAGCCTTGAAGAAAAATATGATGCTCGAAGAGTCTCTAGAGCGAGCAAAACCCACTAGGCTACTCTTGCACGCGACAGGGAAAAATGGGAGATTTACTGGCGCCTGCTCTAATCACTCGACGACCAACGGGACTACAGGTGATACAGGTGATGCAGATTGGAGCTCCGGACACCATCTTTTACTCGCTTGAAATGGGATGCTCCTAGCATTGTCCTTTCGACTTCGCGTTCGATAACGCTCACTGATCTTCCACCCTGCTTACGTAGCGACCAAGTTTCTGACGCATACGTTAGGGCAGAAAGCACCGTTTAGTCGAAAAGGTGAGCACGGAGTCGGGTGTTCTTTGTTCTCTTCACTACATCCTCGATGCTCTTGAAAGCTCCCTAAGCCGCCTGTTTCCTTCTGCTCACCTATGGAATTAAGTCGTTCATCATACTGATTTCCCGACCTAGATGGGCAGAATTGGAGCATTCGGAAATAATCGTTCCGTTGAGCGTGAATGAGGCATGCGAAGCCAATCCTTTCTTCATGAACATCGTTTCTGTGAGATTTAGTCCAAGGCCAATCTTTCCACAGGCTTTAAAATCATCAAGCATACGTTTCGCTTGACTAATGTTTGGTGTTATAAGGACGACGTCATCAGCAAAGCGAAGATGGTGTAACTGCCGACGATCGAATTTCACTCTCGCATTATCCCATTCCAATGTTTGCATGACGTTCTAGATGGTAGCGGTAAATAAATTTGGCGAGGTGCTATCGCCTTGCTTAACCCACCTTCTGACATCAAAGATAATATCTCTGTAAAATGGTGAGACACTGGTTGTGTTTTGTACAGCTCACGAAGAATCTTTCAGTACTGAGTAGGGACACCTTGACTATCAAGAGCTTATAAGACTGCTTCTATCTCACCTGAATCAAAGCCCTTCTGTAAATCGATGAAAGTGAGACAGAGCGGTCTTTTGTACTCACGCGATATTTCAATGAGCCTTGTTACCGTGTGGATGTAGTCCATGGTACTAAATCCTTTTCGAAACCTTGTTTGCTCACATGGCTGTCCTTGGTTTAGTGTTCTGCCAATCCTGTTTAGGATGACTCAAGTGAAAAGTTTGTAAACGGCGGACAGCAAGCAGATTGGGTGATAGTTGCTGATGTCATGTAGGTCACCCTTCTTAAGCAATAGCACGGTCCTGTTGGTCTTCCACTGAGTAGGGACCTTGCATTCAGACAGGTAACGTGTGAAGAGCCGAGCCAGTGTGTTTACGAAAACTGGCGCAAGGTTTTTCAGGTGTTCTGCTCTTATCCTATCCGGATCTGGTGCTGTTCAATTTTTCATCGACGAAGTGGTATGTGGGATTTCGGAAGGAAGAGCCGGTGGTACAACATATCCATCTTTCTTTATTTCATATGACGGAAGGTCGACGTGGCTGTCGAAGAGAACCGAGTAGTATCCGTGGGTGATTTTCTCCATTGCCTTTCTGGAGGCTCCAATTGTTCCGCCTTGGCGCCGGAGAGCAATCATTTTGGTCTTGTAATTGGCGAAACTTCGGTGGGCTTTGCGGATGCTTTTCCCAGCCACTGCAGCTTCGACCATTACTACTGCTCTTCTCTTCTTATGATTTTTTTTATTGCCTACATGTACTGTTTTGCAAGTTCGTACGTTAGTTCGCGGTTGCCTGCAACTCGTGCGATTCCACGCTGGCGTATCTGCTCTGGTGTTTCTGGAAACAGACGTCTCTTGGTGACTTTTGAGCTCTCAGCTGTCATAGCGCTAACGTAAAGATGCTGAATGAACCGATGGTATTCTTCGTCAACGTTATCGACAACGGCATCTTCCTAACAGCCGACTAATGAATTGATTAAGCCCCAGTTTGCGGTGGTTCTGGGATTTCGGTTTTGGAATTTAGCGGCTTTTTCTCCTTTCAATGAGAAATAGAATCTTGCACGAAGGAGACGATGGTCTGATCCCGTGTAGAATTTTGGGACAACAACGACATCGTTAGGCAAATTCTTCTATTTACTATGATGTGGTCTATTTCGTTATGGTACTCTCCATTCGGAGACTCCCATGTCCAGCGCTGAGGGCGGGGCTTCTGGAATTGCGAGTTACCATGGATTGTCTTGGACGCCATGATAAACTCAGATAGCCGCTCAACCTGTTCGTTCCATTCTAATCCGTAGGTCCCAGTGTGACGTTTTTCAGACGTTTTCCTTGGTTCAATCTTGGCGTTGAAATCTCCAATGATGACCTTGAAGAATGTGGTGTTCTCCGTAGAACTTCACCAAGTCCGTATAGAACGCTTCGACTTCCTCTCCGTCGTGGTTTGATGTCGGCGCGTAAACGACGAAGATTGTCAAAGTCGGAATTGACCTACGTCTTTATAATCGCAAACGTCCGGTTCGGGTTGTAAGTTGTTCGAATAAATCGATGTTCATGGGCAAACTTGTGTTGACGAGATTGCCGATACCGCCGACTCCTCTACTGTCGCATGTTCCCATTCTCTGGTGTCATTGGCTTGGTTGAAACCAGGCGTCTTCTCATCTCGTCCACGCGGATGACGTCGTACCTTATCTTTCCTGCTTGCATGATTAAGTCTTCTATCGAAGACTCGGATGCACGTGTACGTGCATTGTAGGTACAGATCGTCTCCATAGTTCTTCGGAATGCAGGCGGCTTCCATTGGCTCTGATATTTTAGCGGCCTTTCCGTATTCCTCCTACCCAATGCTGCCGAATTGGGGGCTGTTTCGAGGTTAGGGAAATAAGGCCCGTTTCTTTTACTGTTTTTAGCTTTTTGATACACACGTATAGCTTGCTGAGCTCTGAATGTGGTGGCAGGGTAAACTCACGAGTAGCTTGCCATATTTTCCCACAGTGGGCAATTAGCTTATTTGTTGGAGGCGACTCCTAACCGTCTCCCATATGCTTCCCAGTCACTTGATGCAGGTTTTGGCAGAATTGACTGGTAGAGTACAATCCGCATAAGCGAGAACGCACTCACACACGCATGCATAAGTACGTCTAACAAGTACAGAAAGTATGTGTCAAATCGGCGCAGCGAAAACAGGGAGTCCATCCCCTGGATCCACCTGCGTCTCAAAGAAGTCATGGTCGCTCTTAGACCGCAATTAGCTCCCTATCCGCCACCTGGGGACGCGCCACGTAGCCTCGCGACTAACCGGCTCGAGGTCGCTCATATGAGGGAGGTCCGTGGATACAGAATCCATAAGTAATTTTGTGCCAGTAAGCTTAGAAACAATGTATTCTTGCTTTATCGAAAGTGCATTGTCTTTTTTAACCAGCATAAGGTCACGAGTCGGTTCACCCAATGGAAGCAGGCTCAGAGTTTCATATGAAAAAGTTTTGTGTATTTCATTTTTATGGGAAGTGTGTTAGCGTGCACAGGGAAAGGCGAAACAAGTTTCGCATGGTGTGGTGGCGCACAGGTTAGCAGCCGCAGAAAGGGGTAATAACGGGCTCGATCCCCACCGCAGACACCTGCGGTCTGGAGTTTTGCAAATATCTAAGCTTCAATGTGGTTATATTTCAGATCGTATTCTGCCGTAAGAAAAGTATGAACATTAAATAAAAAGTGACTACAATGTGTATCTTGTTTATATAAAGGTTAGAACAATAATCTTTTGAAGACTCTTTTACCGTTTTCCCTTTTCGAACTCTTGAAAAAGCAACGAGAATAAGAACAAGCCACATAGTTGAAGAGTGAATCTCATAACAGGCCTACATGAACCGCCTAGAAGCCTAACATTTCTGAATAAAACGATACTTGGAAACGAAGGAAATCTCTGCTTAGATCCGTTCTTTGATCATGGTCGAAATGTGATCGCGCCTTCAGTGACTGTTCAACGATTGAGACAATTTTGGAGAACACTTTGGTTTCACAATATTTCTTCTAATGTTTACTATTTAACGTTCATATGGCCAGACAGCAAATATTGTGCATACACAGTACTTTCATGTTCTGAAATTATGGAATGGCTCTTTCATATTAAAGCTTTTTTAGAATTTCGTCATGCGTGGTCCTGCATCACCGTGGATTGGTGCGAGGCTCTCCTGGGCAATTCTAACACTGCTGTCACTGTTTTGCTGTTGTTGTTGTTGGTGGTGGTGGTAGTGGTGGTGTTCTTGTTGTTGGTGCTATTGTTATTATTACTATTATTGTTATTGCTGCTGTTATTGTTGTTGTTACTGTCGTTATTACTGTCGTTGTTGCTTTCGCTGTTGTTGTTGTTATATGACTGACGTTTCGGCGACTTTACCTTTTTCTCAGCCTGGACATATTTTGTGTAATCCATCGAATTCAGTGAACCATCTGTATTATTAACGATGATGTAACATATAAATGAACGCCGTTTTGTTGAAAAACTACTTAACATTTCGTTGCGTGTGGGAAAATCCATGCGTTGTTCACGTGTGATGACGAGTGAAATCCATTCAGGTGAAAAAACAGTTTTGGAAAAAGGCGCCAGGTCACGTGTGATAGTGAGGCATTCGTCTTTCCAGTTCATCTTTGGATTTTTGAAATTTATCCAAAACGCCTGAAGTGTCTTACGCGCTAATGTTGTCGATTCCTGCTCAAGGATCCTTACAGTCACTTCAAAATTATCACCGTAGTGCTTTTTTGCCCTATATATACTTAGAGTAGGACTTTGTCAAATTTAAAGTTTCCCGTCTAGAGGTCTTTTGTGCGGTTATAAAATGGTCTAACCGTTTCCCCGATGTATTCTTCACCGCCGCGAGGCTACGTGGCGCGTCCTCAGGTGGAGGATAGGGGGTTAATCGCGAACCAAAAGCTACCTTTGCTTCCCTGAGACGCGAGTGGATCCAGGGATGGACTCTCGGTTTTTGTTGCGCCGATTCGGCACATACTTTCTGTATATGCTAGGCGTATTCAAGCATGCGTGTGTTGGTGCGTTCTCGCTTATGCTGATTGTATTCTACGAGTCAATTCGGCCAAAAGCCTGCAATCAAGTGACAGGGAAGAATGTGGGAGGCGCTTAGGAGTAGCCTCCAACAAATAAGCTCCATGTTCACTCTGCGAGAGCCTGGCAAGCTACCCGTGAGTATACCCAGCCCCCATATTCAAAACCCAGCAAGCTATACGTGAGTATCAGAATACTAAACACAGTAAAAAAAAAACGGGCTTCATTTCCCTGACCCCGAAAGGGCTCCCAATTTCGCAGCGTTGAGTAGGACGAGTGCGTAGAGGCTGCTAAAATAGCAGGGGCAATGGAAGACGCTTGCATAACGAAGAACTATGGTGACGATTTGTACCTACAATGCAAGTACACTTGCATCCGAGTCCTCGATAGAAGACTTGCTCATGCAAACAAGAAGGATAAAGTACGACGTCATCGGCTTGGCCGAGACGAGACAACGCTACACATTCAACGCCGTCTATGACACTGGAGAAGAACTGTTCCTCGAAACATGCGACAGTAGAGGAGTCGGCTGTATCGGCGTTCTCGTCAACACGAGTTTGTCTATGAAAACTGATTCATTCGAAGACTATAAAAACCGAATCGAACGTTTGCGATTAAAAAGACGCAGATCATTTCCGGCTTTGACAATCTTCGTCGTTTACGCGCCAACATCAAACTACGACGGAGAGGAAGTCGAAGCGTTCTATATGGTCTTGGAGATCTTCTACGGAGAAAACCACATTCTTCAAGGTCATCATTGGAGATTTCAACGCCATGATTGGACCAAGAAGAACGTCTAAAAAAAAGTCACATTGGAACCCACGGATTAGAATAGAACGAACAGGGTGAACAGCTTTCTGCAAAATGCAGAATGCAAAGTCCCTACTCAGTGGAAGATCAGCAAGACCGTGTTATTGTTCAAGAAGGGTAACCCACCCGATATTCTCAACTATCGCCCAGTCTGCTTGCTGTCTGTTGTCTACAAACTTTCCACTCGAGGATTGACATCCTAAACAGGATTGACAGAACACTGGATAAAGTACAATGATGTGAGCAAGCAGGGTTTCGAAAAGGATTTAATACGATGTACCACATCCACACCATAATAGGAGTCATTGAAGTACCGCGAGAGTACTAAAGACCACTTTATCTCACTTTCATTGATGTAAAGAAGCTCTTTGATCCATTTGAGATTGAAGCAGTTATGGAATCCCTTGATAGTCAAGGTGTCCCTACTCAGTAGATAAAGATTTTTGGCGAGCTGTAGCAAAATTTTCCAACCAAGACCAACCAAGATATCACCATTCTACAACGATATTAACATTGACTTCAAAAAGAGGAGTTGGGCAGGGCGATGCCATCTCGCGAAAATTATTTACCGCCACCCTCCATGACGTCATGCAAGCATTGGAATGGGATAATATGGGAGTGAAATTCGATGGTCGACAGTTACCTCATCTTCGCTTTGCTGATGACATTGTCCTTATAACACCAAACATTAGCCAAGTGGAACGTTTGCTTGACGAATTTGATAACGCCTGTGAAAAGATTGGTCTTCGACTAAATCTCACAGAAGCGATGTTCATAAAGAAGGGATTGGTTTCGCATGCTGCATTCACGCTCAACGGAACGAATATCTCCGAATGCTCCAGTTGTGTCCATCTAGGTGGGGAAATCAGTATGATGAACGACCTAGCTCCAGAGCTGAGCAGAAGGAAACGAGCGGCTTGGGGAGCTTTCAAGAGCATCGAGGATGTAGTGAAGAGAACAAAGAACACCCGTCTCCCTGTCCACCTTTTCGACTCAACGGTACTTCGTGCCCTAACGTATGCGTCAGAAACCTGGTCGCTGGGTAAACAGGATGAAAGGTCGCTCAGCGTTATCGAACGCGCAGTCGGAAGGAGAATGCTAGGAGCATCCCGTTTCACACAAGGGTTGGGATCCGAAGCTCCGACTTGCGTCAAAGATCAAAAATCAAAGATGCCGTTCTGTACGCCAAACAGTCGAAGATAGGGTGGGCCGGTAACGTAATGGGTGTGAATGACAACCGATGAACATGAGCCGTTAGTAACCGGATTCCTCGGGATATCAAACGTACTGCAGGAAGGCCACCGACTCGATGGTCAGAGTTCTTCACGAAAAACCTAGAAGAAAGATATGATGCTCGTGTTCCTAGAGTGAGCAGAACCCTCTGAACTACTCTTACACGCGGCAAGGAAAGATGGAATATTTACTGGCGCCCGCTAGAATCACTCGACGATCAACGGGACTACAGGTGATACAGGTGATGTCCAGGCTCTCACCAAGGCGATGTCACCGGAACGGAAGCCACAAAATTGCGACAGCAGCAACAGGTGATACTAACACCTATAGAAATTAGTAGTACAGAGGTTTGAAAAAAGTCGCTCTTTAAACTCTGGTACAATTATGCTTATGCCGGTAGCTAAAATTTGGGAGGTAGTGTCGTCCCTACATAAGATCGAACCAGCGATCACGTGCATTATTCTTGAGTATTGGTGACCGCTGCTATGCCCGCGCCTACACTCCAGATTAATCGGTAACCATACCGAGGCCAATACCCAAATTGAAAGTCGTAGACTTGTTTTTTTTGTTTTGCACATTCAAAGAGAAACATTTTCCACGGATGAGCTCTACTGATCATTGCAGGCGTACAAGTTTGTTATGACTAACTTTAACACGAGAAAATTACTTGGACGTCCCGTTCTCACTGGTGATGCGGGCCTCAGCATATTTTCCATTTTTTGGAGTCCTGATGGTTAACTCATTGTGTTTACCTGGAGTGCTGCGGTCAGCGTGGTCGAAGTCTGCCCCAGATCCTCACCACCACAGGAAGTAGCCGCATTTGTGGATCAGAGGGAAATTTGCAACCAGGGATTGCGACTAGTTTGGTACCACGACGGTGATGGATCTTGGTATTGGTTTATTCTTAGCCGGGTTTCCTAATGGAAACGCCAGAATTCTTCTCAGCTTGGGAGGCCCTGCCGAAGAGGGCGAATCTCCTCGCTGTACATCGCAGTCCAACAACCAGGAACACCTCCGCGTCACGATTAGGGAGTACAACGTTGGGAGGAATTTGTACAAAACACATTCCGAAAAACAATGAAGTGCCGCTGCTATCATAGAGCTATGTAAAATTCATTTATTTATTAACCGAATAGAAGTTGTATAACAACTTTGTATAGACTGAATAATCTAAACAAATATATTGATTGTTTATGCCGAATTTGTGAATGCTGGTTTAGTAAAGTATCAGCTAGATGTCTTCCTAATAAATCTCACTCTCTTCCTGGCCCCATTTGTCATATGACTGACTCATCGCATTTGTAAGAACACATTTATGCAACATCAACAATTCGTTATTTAGACATTGTCAATTCCTTCGTCCTCAAAACTAAAGTGATTCTTATGTGGTGACCCAGATGCCTGAGACATCTTTGCAAAGAAAAACCTAGAACTGTCATTGAGATGGATTGTAGTAGATCTCGTAAATCCACTCATATTTTAAACTATAACACCAATCATATTGAAATTAAGCTCGTCAACCAAAATAGGAGCAACTGATTTCTATAGGCAAAGTGAGTAATTTTATCTAACGATAACTAGGCAAGTACCGTGATCTTCTTCTTATTCAAACCGGGTTTCGGTACGGGTTTTAGACTTTCATCATTCTTTGTGAAAGACGGCCGATTGCCGTACAGAATCAATTTTTGTCAAACGTCGCCATGCAGTCAGCAAGTTATTGGAGGAAAAGGAACCGTAGTATAAACCTTGCAAAGACAGTCTGTTTCGATTTCGGGCAAATTGATGAGCCATCCAGTTTATCTATTTATTGGCTTCTCTATGTGATCTAGTTTCATGTGCTCATCCAAGTACTTTCCAATCGGCTTGTTTTTTCCGGATTTCTCATCGATAATGATGTCATATGCGAGTTAGGTTACTATTTGAGGATTTTTTCTTTTTCACAACAGTGGTTGAATGCTGGTCAGTTGTTTTCTCGAGACTCTGAAATTGCTCTAAAAGAGATCTTTCAAATTTTTTTTTGCAAGTATTATGCCAGTTTGACTGTCCTGTATGCATAGAAGAAGTTTTGGTTAGATCGTGACTTGTTCGCACAGACGGGCAACCACGCATGCATTGCACGTCGTCCCTACCACCACGCTTGTATTAGCCGAGTTTTCTATTTGATCTCTTGACATTTTTGGGAGGCTCCGAAAGTGTATTTTATTCGTAGACCTGGTTCTAGACAAATTTTTGTTCTATTTTTCATAGATGTGGTTAGAGTGGTACTTAGTTACCGTCTATGGCTACACGATGTCTCTACGTCTCATTCTTGCGGCTTTCATCCTCATCATGAGGCTTCGCATAGTTATTAGTAATTCTAAATCCATATAAAACATGATTGTTTTTATTGATTCGGTTTGGTAATTTCGCATTCAAACCATCTCTTGTGCCGAAAGCTTGGGTTTATTATGAACTAATATATGAAAAAAAGCGTTGAATTTCCGAAGGGAAGGTAAGAGTGAAGTTGTCTTCTAAGCAACGTAATGCAAGTGAATTTCATTATTTTAACCCTCGGTAGTTATTTAGAATGAAGTTATAAACTGATCTTAAGCTGATGCGAGCTTGGTACAGGACCTCGAATCAGCTTAAGAAGATCACTTTATAAGATCATATAAATAAATATATCAACTATCTATGCAGAGGTTTATAGAAAGTCGGTCTTTCGAGTTATTTAGAATAAAGAATATTCGAAGGAAGCTTCTTTGATTCTTTAGAAAATTCACAACGTTGTACAACTGGTTCGAATTCTAACGCTGATTTTTCAATGTTCACGCATATCGGAGGTAAATAAGGTGCGTGAGAGAAGGAGGTCAGAAGAGCCCGCCCTACAATACACATTAAATCGCGCGCCAATTTGATCCCTCGCTATGAGTTGACTAAGCCTTCCGTATTTTCAAGAGCGGCAGACTAGTACCATGTTTGTTTGGCACAATAGCAAAACTAACTCCATGTATCAGTAGGACACTAGAGGTATGAGCCTACCATTCAATCGCCTCCACGATGCTTGTGAGAATGGTGGGCATGGCGCATCGCGATGGGGAATTCTGCTCCCTTTATCCTTTATTTGTTGCACCGACTTTGAGCTCTTTCCTTTTGTTAAGTAAAAGAACGTGCGTCTTTGTTTTTGATTGCTTTTTTCTATCCAACACCACATTAATAATGTGAGCCCTTATATCGCCCGATATGATCTGACCATGAGATTGTGGGTAGCATCAGAGAGCTAATGCTTAAATGTCATCTCTAAGTTAAACTTTAACATAGAAAATTCTTTACGGCTTGACGTCTTTGGAGGACCTTTTTGGTAATGATAGACAAGAAAGCCAAATCCATTTTATGAGAAGTTTTTAACATTTTTAACTAAGATTTATGCTGAACTCAATTATTGAAATGAAACGGACGAGTTCGAATATACAAATAAAACACAAAAACACATCTGCATGTAAAATCAGTGATTTATTTCCTTAGAGATGTGTCAACATCAATGAAAATGAGATCGATCCGAGAGCATGCTAAATGGAGCGTCATTTTCCGAACAGTATGACAAAAAAGACCTTTATACCGACTTCTATCGATGAGGATCAGCACATGGCCGGAATGGTGATCACGACTATCAGATGAACCAGAATTTCATCGATATCCTGTCGCTTCGTATTGGAAGACGTCGAACTCGTTCGAACTTCTTACCCGGCAAGAACATGCAGCCCATTGGTGAGAAGAAGCAGTTGCGCTCTATTCGACCTCCAAGTACTCGATCGATCTCTCTTGAATAGCAATTTCAGTTGGCTATCGGAGAACAAATAGGCTACTTGAATTCTACTTTGGCTAAAATTTAGTATGGGTAACTGAGGTCACCCAACGTAAATCATATTATCCAGGTAAGAATGGTCCACAGTTAAGTTGAGGTTTATAAATACTGATACAGTATAAATAAAGGATAAAGCACTCGGCGTTGATCAATTCCTGAGGGATGCGCCATGCATTCGACTTCATTAAGCATCATCTGGAGGTGACTGAATGCATATCTGGCCTTTACAATGACTTGCGGTGGCCTACCAATGTATCGAGCCGTGCCGCTATCCTGCCAGACAAGTCTTATACCAATTTGTCAACCCTGGAGGGATGAAAGCTTGGTAGGCCATGGGTGTAGGGATCGATTCCACGTATGTGTTGAAAGGCGCTGCAGACCACTGGATCACAAAAGCCCTCTGGTAGATTTAGTTAACATTTAGCTTTTAAGAAAACCTGGTAAATTCTCAAAAGACTTAATTCAATCACTCCTACCCATAATTCGCTTGTGTTTGTACTGTCTGCAACACCGCCAAGATTAACGCAACGATTGGCCATCGAGAGCTAATATACATCCTGTAATTTCCAACTAAGTAGTGGTAACTTAGTTCGATTTCGTTATTGGAGAAAAAAATGATCGTTGCTTGTTTTCTACTATGGCTTGCTTTTTAGGTGAATAGCCTTCTTCAGTGCTTGAAAGCATAGAACAAAATTCCTTCCAAAGGTTCACGAACGAAGAACTTTTGTTACATGAAAACGGAGGTCGTTTAGGAAAAAACCTACGGAGCAGTTAGTTAGAAGTAGGACTCTAACGTTAGTTCTAAGCGTTTTTTTATAAATAGGAACCTCCCCATGTATAAGGGATATTATAGACTTTCGATAAAGTCTGAGGTGCTATTCTGATTTTCTTTATAGATCCATGTTCTTTCACTAGGGGCTCATTTCAATGGAGCCATAGAATACGACAATTTCTTGGAAACTGAGTGCCAACGAATTGATTGCAATGTACAATTCCGTTGCCTGAATATGACAAAGACTCTGTCATTTTCAGGGTATGGATAACGTGAGAATATGAAATATGAGCGTTAGAAGAGCGCACGGCGGAAATGATCGTGCCATATAGGTTAATGAAAACGGCATTAATCATAGGACGTGCTGAGGTTAAACGGTATGATCATTAGCTGGAATGTGCAATTTGCTAATAAAAATCGCAATATCTTTAGTCAACGTCGTGATTATCGTTAAAACATATCAAAAATCAGAGGAAGTAATGAGAAGGTCGTACGAGTTGTAAAAGCTCGTCACAGCTTGCTGGAGTAGATTCTGCCAGTCTGAGATGATGATCACCATACAAAACAGCAAGCAGCAAAGTGCATACGAAAACAATGGAAAATTTTTAGCACGAAACTGAGTTGCAAACTTTTTCTCTTAAATTTAGGAAAACTCAGCATTATGTCGGTTGTTCGCTAGAGAAGAGATTTTTCAACGAAATTTTACAAAATAAGTTATTTTTGAAAATACAAAAAACAAAAGTACATTCTGGAAAATCGAAGAGACAGTTTAAAGATTAAGATGCTTTTAAGTTAGTTAGACACTTTTCTAAACGTTTGCGAACATCTAGAAAGTGAGATAAACGATTGTTACCTTTGTGTTGTTTCCATCCCACTTCAAAATTTAATAAAATGTGTTTGTCTCTGCATCTTTAACGTATGATGGGGTAAACAAGGCATTATTAGTGATACAACCACAATGAAGCTGAGATATCTGGAAAACTCCGGGTGGCCGGTGTCTGCTGTGGAGAACGAACGAGCTAGTACCCTTTCCGGGGGCTAACGCGTTCACCACCACACCATGCGTGTCCTTCGTTTCGGTTTTCTCTCAACTAGTTTTTATCTACGTGGTTGCTGGTGATATTGGCAGACAGAAAACTAGCTAAGAGACAGGCGAAACGAAGGAACAGCAAGTATGCTGGTGAACGCGTCGACCCCCGCAAAGAGTACTAGCGCGTTCGTTCCCCGCAGCGGACACTGGCCGTCCGGAGTTTTCCAGATATCTCAGGATCATTGTGGTTGTATCACACGTAATACCCTTCCATGAAAAATTGTAATAGGCAGCAAATAAGAAGTTGGCATTGTAAAGCAGTATTTTTTTGAGTTTTTGTCTTTTCTATTTACTTACTTAGTTTGTGAAAAATTTAATGAAAGAGTGAAATCAGGTAATGTAAGGATAACTATCTATGTAGCGCGAACAGGAGTATCAATAGAAGTCAGAAGAAAAATTGAAACAACCACGCATGTGTTGAGTGCATTCTATGAAACCATGAAAACAGTCCAATTGTTTTCAGCATCATCTCCTTGAGTCCTAAGGCGCATAAAAAATGTCCTTTTATTTTTAAATTGAATAGATCTTAAAATAAAACTAATTCCAAGTTGACACAAGATTCCCTTGAATAGGCAGAAATAGTAGCATAATATTTTAGAAGGTTCTCATAAACCAAAGTATTTCCAACCAGATATGCATTCAGACACCTCTAAGATGTTGCAAGTGAAGTTAAATGCATGGTGCTTCGTTTAGGAATTGCTCAACATTGGACGCGTTCATGTCTTTGTGGGAAAAATTGGATACGATTGAACTGCAAAAGCAAAATGTGAGACAATTTCATGTCCTCTGTTTGACGAACGAAAATTATGTGAAGCAAGGTCGTATTAAGGATCTAGGATTGATTGCTTCAAAAATTTTAACCACTATAAAAAGTCCCAATTTCTCGAGAAGCAACGGTGATTTCACGTTGCATTCTTTGGCCAGTAGAATCACACCGTCACTAGTTCAATATGGTAGTGGTCCAGTGCTTGGAAAAGAGTGCTTTGAAAATGATCGCTCGTATTTTTTAGCACCGCCCTGAAAAAAAAACCAGAAGTAATAATCGCGGGATAGCCGTCTACATAATTTAATTTGATCATAAATGTAGAAAAAACATTATTTATGGGCGATACGACAAAGAAGACATTTCATCATGCTTCTTCGTGCTTCATAGTTAATAAGGAATTATTAAAACTCATGTGATATTCTCTTTGTATGTTTCTTTCATAAAATTAGAAGGTTATGGCTGTCATATGCTCTTGCATTTAAGTATTCGCCACAATGAAGAATACAGTGCCGTCGTAAAGCAATAGAGCACTTGTTAGGTACTATAAAATTCTCAAACATTATATATAAAGAATGGTAAGGGATAAAATGTTAGACGTTGATAAATTACTAAGGTATGCGCCATGAATTAGGCTTCATCAAGTGTTGCCAGAGGTGAGTGAAGGCTGGTCTGGCCTAAACAGTGTCTCGAGATGGTCTTACCGATGCATCAAGTTAGTAAGGCTGTCCTCTTAAGCAAGTTTGTTATACCGGTTGGATGGAAGGCTTGGTAAGCCTGGCGGCTGGAACTGAATCGGCAATCACGTGTGTATTGTAGGGTACCTCTAACCATTGCGCCACTTGCGCTCCACAATAAAGTGCATGGTCTGTAATCTCTTAAGTTATAAGGTATGTCTAGCATACACTAGTAAAATTTTCATCGGTTTTGTTGTGTTCCAGAGCTCTGATCAGTGGCCCTACTTACTTGAAGGCGCGAAGAACATCATACAATCAAGCCTTTATTTCTATTATAATTCATACACGAAATTAGGAACTATCAGTCTAACCCAGATCAGATGTAGCTAGTTGTGTAACAAATGATGGCCAAAGCGATTTTTCAAGAGCTGGTGCGTAGATTTACAGAACAGTCTTTACTCTATCACCCTCTTCTGCTTATATACTCTGTGCAACACCCCTTTATCTTTAAATATGCTTATAATTGGAGTATTTAAGGGCTTTAGAAGAAAATTTTAAAATATTTTTAAAGTTGAGATGCAAACTTCGAATTTTTAAATTTTCAGTGAAAGAATGAAGATTGCAAAGGCAAACGATGCTTTGGGAAACACCGTCCCTTGTGTAGGACTGAGCTCAGCTTGTAAAATTTCAATTTCGCATTCGTAATGAGACAAAAATAAAAGAAATATATTCCCATGACCGACTTTCTGTTAACCTCGGCATTAATTGATAATTCAATGTTTTTCATCAATAAGCAGACACGAGGTTGTTAATATAGAATTTATTAGAACACAATTGCTGACGTTTCGGCGGTTTCGCCTTCTTCAGAGCCTGGAAAGGTCAAATTGAGATGTGATCTACTCAGCCAAACACTTTCATAACCCTAGCAGATAAAACTTGATAAATCGATTTTCATTCGCATAAGAAACGGTGACCGCAAGGAGGAGTGTCTTGTGATCACGCGTGACCTAGCGCCATACCTCAGGCTGATCCAATAACCTGACATGGACCCAGTTATCGACCATGTATTACTCTGTGCGGCGGCTATCCACCAACTAACTTAAATACTTACAACAAATAAACGGTAGGTGTTTGAATGAAGCTGTTTCTTATGCGATTGAAAATCGATTTATCAAGTTTTATCTGCTAGGGTTATGAAAGTGTTTGGCTGAGTAGATCACATCTCAATTTGACCTTTCCAGGCTCTGAAGAAGGCGAAACCGCCGAAACGTCAGCAATTCTGTTCTAATAAATTCTATATTAACAACCTCGTGTCTGCTTATTGATGAAAAACATTGAAAAGAAATATACATCATGGATTACACCTAATTAGAATTTCATTTCGACAGAATCAGAAAAAGTCTGACCGAATTGATGATGTTCAGCACCACGTGAGGTATGTTGATTAAAAGTAGAGAGCGGCCACCTTTTTCACATCGAGTGCATTGCGCGCAATACATGTCGAGCCTTATATGCTAACCAATGACGACGACCTCGCACTTCCTCAATTTAGACCATGCGACATAATCAAAATTTACGTAAAAGTTCCAGTCTCAATGCATGAATATACGTTCATATACACCGCATATGTATAAGGTAATTAGTACAAGTGCGGTGCGGTTGTTAGGCACACGTCGGTGGTTCCAACATGTGTGCTGAACTAACGGATCCCTCTATACTTCTGATAGCGAAAAATTAGCACCAAAAATATCTGGAAAGATAGAAGATATTATTATCAGACTTTAATACATAGAGTACTCCTAAGCGATTTATTAACGCCGAACTTTTCACCTTTGTGCATAGGTGGACTCAGCCTGCTGCATCGTTCTCGACCAATCATTCGATCAGTCATAGGACAATAGTCGTCTTACACGAATTCAGCTTACAAGGCAGCATGTTACTTTTTGATTCATATGGCCTAGTTATTGCTTATTATGAAGAACTTATCCGCTCCTATGCCTGATCTTCGGTATCAATCAGAGCCGTGTTTGACGAGAATTTCACATGTGAAATGAAAAGGAGCCATGGTCGATTTTGGGAAAAATGAGTTGCAGCGTCGTCAGGAATAATAGGATAAAGATTGGCAAAAGTATTTTAGCATTTAACGAAGTGACGATAAAAATTAGAGCGTCTAAGCAAGTAAGTATTGGGTTATTAGGCTGGAACAACGACAAGGGAAGCCCCTCCTCTGATTCCGTTTGTGTCTGAAGTTCGAGATCACTTTATTCCCAGTTTCAACATTTTTCTCAACAGAAAAATAGGCTATGTAGCACTGTACCTAACAAGGTTAAATCCTTCCAAAAAGTATGATTTGTGGTTGATGACCATAAAACGAAATTATTCTTTGAGAATAAAAAAAATAAATCACTCGGCGTTGACCAATCCTTGTGTGATGCGCCATCCATTCGACTCCATTAAGCATCGTTGGTGGTTACTAAATGCATACTTGGTCTTTACAATGATTTTCGGATGCATACTGATCTATCGAGGCAGTACTGCTATCCTCGCAGACAAGTCTAGTCCCAATTTGCCGACCCCGAAGGATAAATCGCTTTTTGAGCCTGGGGCACGGGATCCATCCCATGCGCATTTCAGGGCGCTTCTAACCACTGCTCTACACGCGTCCCCTCACACTTTTTGAGGATTGTTTCTAAGTAGTAGATTCCGTAAAAATAATATTTGAAGGCTAAAATTTCGTTTCACATGAGTTGGTGTGATCCATTTATGGAAATTGTTTGACTTACGCACATTTTTCTTCATAAGTAATGAAATTATTTGAAGAAATATCATCGGAAATTTCGCTGAATGGTATACGACGTTTAGAATTTGCACTAGTGAGCACAGTTTAAATCTAAGCTTTATGGAAATTGCGCTAAATTTTTTGTTGGCCGCTCGTGCATTTTCGAAGAATAAAAATTCCTGGGTTATCAGTTACAACAGATTACCGTTGTTCGTGAAACTATTCCTTTTCGTGCTTCTATTCCAAAAAAAGGCATTTAATTCTGTGTTTTGATTCACTGGAGACTAAAAGTAGTAGTGGATGCAGAAAAGTAACCATTGGTGCCGGAGTTCAGTATTCGGTGAAAGTTCGCTTCACCGACAGTAGTCTTTTAGCCGAGCCAAAGGACGCACCTCTATTTTGAAGCCCAGCTGAGTGTTAACTTTGTTCATTACAGTCCACGAACCTATCTATGAGTATTTTACTCCAAAGCCTCCAAAAATAAAAGGCTGTATATCAAAAGCTGATGGCGTCCACGTTTACCGAATAAGAATAAGCACTGATTGCTGTGACGCTCAATGAGGACGCCCAGTGGTTTATTGCTGTCCTATCGAGTTCGACAGAAGAAAGCTGCTCATATTCAACCACAATGATGCTGAGATATTTGCAAAACTCCGGACCGCAGGTGTCTGTAGTGGGGAGCAAACTTGCTATTACCCTTTCAGGGAGCTAACGCGTTCTGGTACTCGTATTTTACTGTAGACTCTAAGGGATATATTACTACGAGAAACTGCAGTCCCATGTGGAACAGAGTGAGATGCTGCCTCACAAGCGGATTTCCTACAAGGCGGTAGCGTTTCCTGCCGATTCTCGAACGATCGAAAATACTGCAGATAAAACAACGTCCCATTTTTTACACACTTTGTCTCCTAATTTTTAAAGTAACTAATTTAAACGTGTTTGTATTTAGTCGGAATGCAAGAGTCGACAGGATCAGAAAAAGCGAAGTAGATACGAGTTATTTACCATGGAATTGAAATGGCTTGTGCTATCCTAGTTGTGAGGCTGCTACATTTTTATGAGTTAATAAAGTCCAATTCAAATGTGGCTTCAATATCATTCGTAGTTGATTGGCTTGTTCTTTTTGCTAAAGTTACTAAAAATGAGGTTTAACTCATGTGCGACTTCGATACCATTCGCAACTAATTGGCTCGCCTTTTCCAGGTTGACGACATGCTTTTTTCCAGCCCGTTTTCGATTGAAGGATGAGTATTTATTCGAGTTTTCAATAAAATCTACGCTCTGCACAAACATTACTTCGTTTAAGCATTTTCATTTTCACTTTAACGATAAATCACACCAGACGCCGTAGAACATTTAGCGTTCTATTTCGATTGTTCTGAAACGAAGCACAGCGAACACAACAACGTCTGACTAATTCGTCGGCCGTGGTTCTGGGATGTTTACATAGCAATTAAAGAATAGATCGACATACCTATTTAGAACAAAATTTTTCCAGTAAGGAATTAGATGAAACATCAACAAAGGAATTAACTGATAGAGCAGCAGGTGTTATTTTGTAAATAAATAAATAGTTATTTTGTAAATAAATAAATGTAAATAAATGTAAATGAAAAAATTGTAAATAGTCCAATGCAATGATGCTTATCGAGGAATTTCGAGGTGAGAATGAAGGACACGTCCCCAGAAATTCCCACAATGAGATTTACCCTCGAGTACAGCCCTCAGGAGACTTTATTTCAAGTAACATTTCCCACAACATTTTGTTAATTATATACGACTATAAAATAACTATGTA